GCTTCCTTTTGAAATCATTTCTGCGGTTCCCTCTCTCTTCTGTGTTTCTGGCAAATAGGAAATAAGTTTTAAACATTGATTAATGGGGGCTGGTGATCCTGGATTTGATCCCAGCACCGAAGGGGGGAACATCAGTTGAATTTGTTTAAATTAAATTTCATCTTCGAAGCTGCTTCTCGATGACCATGTGGAATTTGGGGCACACTCTTGATGTTAATGGGAAGGTTGCTTTTTTTTCCTTTTGAAATACCTGGTATTGGCGAGAGGATGCCATAAGAGCCTGCATCTGTTTCGTGCCAGCCTCTAGGGATGAAGACTCCCCTGAAGCCCCAGTTCCTGATGACCTCTGAGGTTTGGAGTAGAGCAGGGGAGCCTCCTCCAAGCTCCATTATGATTTTGGACATAGAATAGAGAGCCCTGTGTCTGGGTTAGATGGTGTCTTTTCTGGGTCCTGGCTTCCTCCCTCTCTTTGGATTTGYACCTGGTCCCCTTATTTTCTCTGTGTGGAAATTTGTTTCTTACCTGTTGGTGGCCAGTGYTCCTCTGGTTCACAAGAGGAAGCAGCGGTCCTCCAGGGCCTGAGATTGGTGGTCTYGTGTCTTAGTGCTTTGCATTCTGTGACTTCCTGTACCTAGGGGTTTGTTTGTTTGCTTCCAAACAGGATAATGAATTTCCTGTGGGGCAAAAGATACACGTATTTTATAGATGCACAGAAGACTAGGGAGTTACTTGTGAATGCTAGGCGTGAAAGTGACTTCTGAAGTGTAACAGGTTGGGAAGTATGCTGACCTGATTTCCTTGGATCCTGGTTTCTGAAATTTATTTTTATAATGTAATCATACTTAGTATCTTAGTCTATTTTCTGTTGCTATAACTGAATACCCAAGACTGAGTAATTTATAAGGAAAAGAAATTAATTTCTTACAGTTCTGGAGGCTGGGAAGTCTTTTTGAGGGGCCACATCTAGGGGCCTTTGCACTGGTGGGAGTACTCTGCAGTTAGAGGCCGTGCAGGGCTTCACATGGTGAGGGGACTTGCAAAAGGTGGCTATACTGCTTTTATAACAAACCCACTCCTGTGGTAACTAACCCTCTCCCTCAATAACTCACCTATTAATGGATTAATCCATTCATGAGGGCAGAGCTCCCATGACCCAGTCACCTCCCAAAGGTCTCACMTCCAAATGCCATTAATATATGAATTTGGGTATTAAATTTCCAATATATGAATTCTGGGGGATGAAAATTCAAACACAGCACTTAATGTATATTTTTATCATATGGTATAGTAGTTTAGATGTACAGAATATGTTAACCTAGTTCTTATTAGTCATGAATCAGGAAGTACTTATATTACCCAAATGGCATTTTTAGGAAAAACTCCATCATCTTATGAAATACCAAATTACAACATTTTCATTCCTTTTTTTTTTTTTTAATGACACAGGAAATCCGGGATCCGATTATGCAGTGGCTTGGGAGACATGTTGATTCTGAAGGAGTAATAAAATACAGCAAGCTGTCCCTCAAATTTGTTTCATCTTACACATCTGAAATAGGAATCACTCCCTCTTCGCTACCTGTGATCACCGAGGCAGAGGTCTTCTCGTCAGAGCATTTTAACTTAGAGATCTATCGACAAAATCTGCAGACCAAGCAGCTTGGAAAAGTAATTCTGTTTGCTGAAGTGACCCCCACCACCATGAATCTCCTGGATGGGTAAGTCCTGCCTGGGCGCCCTGGCACCCGCTCCGGGGAAGCCTCTTGTGTTGATKGTTTTCTGTGACCCCAGCAAAGGAGCGGGGGGTGTGGTTGCACATGAGACATTTGAACAAACCTGTTAGCAAGGTAGATGTTCCTGTCTGAGGAGAGCTAAATGTAGGAATAGGAGTTTAATAAAATTGCTGGATCAGAGTTCTGTGTTTTATGGAGTAGGGGGAGGGTG